CTAAAAATAACACTTACCTGATAGGGGCTGCTTCGAGAACTAAGTGAAAAAACACGTGTGAAGTACAGCCCAGGGCCTGCCATCTAGTTGGTGGTTGATAACTGCTAGCTGAATGGTTCTGACTACAATTCACTCCGGAGAAACTGAGACGCGGGGCATCCCTGGGCCTCCCAGCATCTCTGTGCAGAACACTGAATGAGCGGTGACAAGGTTTCATCTCAGCATTCTCCCTCCTGACCTTGCTCTCAAGGTCAGAGCAGCACTGAGTGGAGGCAAAAAAGGGTGGATTTTCCAGGTGGCACGAAGTGAGAAGACAGTTGTTCTCCAATGGTCAGCTCATGGTCTGCATGCCAGCATCACGGTATTACGACTTCTCCTGGAGACACTTTGAAGTAGTCAGCAGGGGAGGGTATAGAAAGAGGGAAGTGATAGTTGAGATGTGTTAGGTCTGTTACTTGCCTTACAAGGTGGGAGCTTCATCATCTTTATCACCGGAGAGGCTGAGCGGCTTCTTCATCATCACGGTTATTAAGGGGCAGAATGAGAACTCAAACACAAGTTGCTGCCGGCTCCCACTGCCTTCCCTTCCTTTCCCTGTCTGCCCCAGGGTTGCCTCTTTCCCTACTTCCTCGCCTATAATACCTTAAGTTCTTATCTGAGAACATTGTAGTTATCAGCTAACACCTTGGTTATCAGGAAGGCCAAGAGGATTAACGAGACTAGTGCTCTGAGTTCAGCCAGCGAGATAGGCAAATTTCCCAGATATGCAAGTGGGTGGGCACGGGAAGATAAACCGCCCTCATTAACCGGCTGCCTCCTGCCTGGGCCTGTGCCAGCTTAACCTCAGCGGTGTCCTGTGTGCACAGAAATCTTTGCACTGAGCTTGCGGCTGAAACTAGAAAGCATAAACGTGCAGAGCCCCCCACGGGGTGCAGATACACTGGTGTGCTGTCTAGAGCCACAAACGGCTCTTTCTCTACAGCAGCTCCATCTTCCAACAAGGAGCTCTGAGACCAGAGGAGCAATTCGTATGTAAATTTCCAAGCCCAGGGCCTGGCGTTTAGCAGGGGGGCTAAGAGGGCTCCAGTTCTCATTAAGGATTACTTCCACTCTGCAGCATCCTCCCCTTTGCAAGGACCTTCCTTCTGCAGTTTTCTTCTTCCCCGCTTTCTCATTCGCTCTGTCTCCCTCCCATCATTCCTGTCAGGATCCGACATGCTCTAGCGTTTCCCAGCTTTAAAAACACCTTCCCTCCACCCTTTACCCACTTTCAGCTACTATGCCATTTCTCTGGTCCCTCTTATACAACTGCTTCTTTAAAGAGGTCTGTGCTCACTACCTTCACTTCCTTACCTCTCATCCATTCTTAAAAATGTTTGCATGTGTACTATTACATACACACAAAAGAATACTTATGACTTGAATAAGTCACTTATTTATAAATATAGTAGTTGTTAAGTTAGGTTAAGTTCTGCAAGCTCCAAAATTCCAGTAGCTTGACAGACTGGGTATATTGCTGTCTCCCGTCCCAGACCAATGGGATCGGCCCGAGAGGGCTTGTGGGGGCTTCTGCCCCAGGCAGGCATTCAGGGACCCAGTCTCCTTCCATCTTAGGATGCAGCCGTCTTCAGTATGTGTCCTTAAAGATTGCTGTAGAAGGAGAGGAAAAAATGTTGGATTACATGTGAGAGATTGTAATGAGCCCACATCTCAATGGCCAGGACACGGACAAACGGCTGGGAAATGGAGTTTCGCTGTGTGTTACGAGGGAAAACAAAACAGTTTGGTGAACCCTAGCATTCTCTCTGCCACTGTCTTAGGAAGTGAAAAGATAACATGAACACCTATGAACCCCTTACCCAACCTCACGAAGGACTCTGTTGAAGATAAATGTGTACTTGTCCCTCATCCCAGCTCTCCGCTTTCTTACTGCAGGTAAACAGAATCCGGGAATTATTTTTTATCATAGCCTTGCCTATATTTATAATTTTACCACATATGTATGTAACCCAAATGATATCTTTAGTTTTACTTATTTTTGAACTACTTCAAATGGTATCAGACTATAGGTAGTCTTTTTCCATTTGATCTTTTTACTCAACAATATTCCTGAGAGTCATACCAGGGGGTGAAGGTAGCTGTGGTTTGTTTTATAGGTCGTTTGCTCTGCTGTGTAGTTTTTCATCCAGTGACTCTTGCACAATCCATTGTTCTGTTTGCTATTGACGGAAATTTGTAGGAACTGGGAGAATGAAGATGTCGTTCACTAAGATGAGAAAGGTTGTTTTGATGGTTAATTTTATGTGCCACTTGGGCTGGATGACAGTGCCTAGATGTGAGGCCAAACATTATTCTGGATGTTTCTGTGAGGGTGTTTTTTGATAAGATTAACATTTAGATCAGTGGACTTTGAGTAAAGCAGATTCCCTCTATAATGTGGGTGGGCCTTATCTAATCAGTTGAAGGCCTGACTAGACTAAAGATTGACCTCCGCGGAGTGAGAGGGAATTGTGCAGCACATGGCCTTTGGACTTGGACGGCAGCATCAGCTCTTCTCTGGTGTCCAGTCTGCCAGCCCAACCTGTGGATTTTGGACTTACCAGCCTCTATCATCACATGAAGGAATTCCTTCAAATATATCTCTTCCTCTCTCTCTCTCTCCCTCTCTCTGTCTCTCTCTCTCTCCATACTATTGGTTCTGTTGCTCTGGAGACCCCTACTTAATACAGTGCTGGTTGGATTGTCTCCTAAATTTTTTTTTTCCGTATTGTGAACCATACTGGTGTGCACTTTCTTGTCCATGTTTCGGATGCCTGTCTGTAAGATTTTTCTCTAAGTGTTTTTCCAGGGTCTTATGGTTGTGAAACAGTAACTCACTGTTTAGTTTACCTTTTCCTGATTGCTAATGTGTATGAGCATTCTTTTATGTGTTTCTTGGCCATGATAGTTTCCTCCTTGGTGAAATGTCTCTTCAGGGATTTTGCCCGTATTTTCTGCTGTGATTTTTTTTTGTTGCCTTTTTCATATTGGTTTGACCGTTATTTCTTTCTTCTGAACACTATTTTTCAGTTGAAATTATTTTCTGCTACATTGTAGATTGTCATCTTATTTTCTTTAGGGTGACTTTTGATGTGCTGAAACTCTTAATTTAATCAAGTTGAACCCATCTTTATGGTTTGGATCTTGTTTAGGAAGCTCTGCCTTACTTTTCATTATGAAGATAGCCTTCTATATTTTCTTGTAAAAATTTTAGTCTTCCCTTTCACATTTAAGTCCTTAATCCATTTGGAGTTGATTTCTCTCTATGATGTGAGGTAGGGACAGAGTTTTTTGCATGTGGATAACCAATTATCCTGCCACAATTTATTGAACAGTCCATCCTTTTCCTGCTAATCAACGACACCACTTCTGTTCCATGCAAGTGTGTTTGCCTCTGGGCTTTCTATACGGTTCCATCCGTCAATTTGTCTATCCCGGTGCCAATATCTTAATTACTATGGCTATAGCTTAATATCAGAGAGGTAAATGAATATTGAGATTAGATGGGAAAAGTTTCCCACTTTATCTTCTAGTCTATTCTTGGCCCATTACTCTTCCATGTAAAATTTTGAATGAAGGATATCAAATTTTAAAAACATCTTGTGGAATTCGGTTGGGATTAAATATAAGCTACAGATCACTTGGAACAAATTAAAATTTAAAAAGTTTTGAGTCCTTTTGCTCCACAAATATGTTTCTATCTCCATATATTTAGGCCTTATTTCCATAAAGTTATAAACTTTTTCCCACAATAAAAGTCATATTTTTGTTAGATATACCTGAAATAGAGATTTTTCTTGTGATTATATAAGCAAGAAATAAGCAAAAGTAGATAAAATAGTGAAATGCACCCAATGCACCCATCACTCCGCCTCAGCAGTCCTGAACACATGATCAGTCTTGTTTTATCGAGAACCTCACCTGCTCCTCCCACCTCAGGATTGTTTTTAAGAAAATCCCCCAAATTATACTATTTGATCTGTAAATGTAAACCATACCCCTAACATTTACATTTTAAACTGTTCGTTACTAGTGTGTAGAAATGCAGATGGTTTTTGAAAATTGGCGTGAGATCTAGTAAGCTTGCAAATCTCTCCTTATTTACAATGATCTGTCTGTAGATTCAATTGGGTCTTCCCCATAGGCAATCATATCACCTGCTAATGCAGTTTTGTGTCTTTCTAGTACTTGTACTTTTCATTTATTTTTCCGGTCTCACTACACCGTGTCCTCAAGTCTAGTTTGGAAGAGAGGTGGTGGTATCTTTGTCTTTTTCCTGATTTTAATGGGAAGGATTCTAATATTTCACACTAAGAATGATGCTTAGAGTAGGGTTAATAGATATCCTATATGAGGCTATCAAAGTTGTTCCTTTTTATCCTCATTTGCTAAGAGTACAAAATTTAAATTATGAGGGCCGACCTGGTGGTGCAGCGGTTAAGTTCGCATGTTCTGCTTCGGCGGCCCAGGGTCTGCCGGTTTGGATCCTGGGTACAGACATTACATCACTTGGCAAAAGCCATGCTGTGGTAGGCGTCCCATATATAAAGTATAGGAAGATGGGCTCGGATGTTAGCTCAGGGCCAGTCTTCCTCAGCAAAAAGAGGAGGATTGGCAGCAGATGTTAGCTCAGGGCTAATCTTCCTCAAAAAAATTTTTTTAAAATTATGAATAGTTGAATTTTATCAAAATCTTTTCCCGTTTGTACTGAAAGGACTATACGGTGCCTCAGACACTTGTGCACTGCTCAGATCCGTCAGCCTTAGCTTTCTCTTCTTCCAGCCACGGCTGCAGGGACCAATTTTGCACGAGTGCTGACCAGCCTCCCACAGGTGCAGCCTGACAGCATCTAACCTCTGGGTCCCGCCACATGCTTTTCCCCTCCTCTGTTGATGTCACAGTGGGAGGTGGGGTGGGAACCACTTGGCACTCACCAAAATTTATTCATTGAGAAAAAGGAGTCGTCCTTCCCCTGGATGGGCAGTATGGAGATGCACTGTGCATGACGATCCCGGCAGTCCTGTGGGGCTAAGTCATCCGTGTGGTGGCCAGCTTGATAATTCATCTCTGTGTCGGCTGACTCTCCCTTCTGGCTCTGCTTTCTTCTTGCCCCTCACTCCTGCTCCTTGGATCTCACTCCCCCGAAAGGTACTCACGCTTTAGCCTTCCTTTAGAGGGAGCTCAGCTTAAGGATATGTTTTTTCTCCTTTAGTCTATTAATTTGTTGAATTACAGTTATAAAGTTTCTGGTGTTAAATTACCCTTACATTTCTTTGGATAGACTAGCCTGGTCACAAAGTGTTACTTTTTTTTTTTTTTTTTAAATACATTGCTGGAGTCAGTTTGCTACCATTTGGTTTAGAAATTTCACATCTGCATTCATGAGTAAGATTGGTGTATATTTTTTTTTCTTTTTTTAAACTCTCCTTGTCTGGTTTTAGTCTCAGTATTATGTTAACCTCATCAAATGGATTGTAGAGTGTTCTCTCTTTTTCTGTTCCCTGGAAAAGATGTTTGAAAATAACAACGGTCTGTTCCTTGAAAGTTTGTACAAATACACCTATGAAATCGTCTGGGCCTCGTGTTTCTTTTCAGAAGGATTTATACTGATGATTAAATTTCCTTAACGGTTATAAGATTATTGAGGGTTTCTCTTTCTCTTTGAGTCAATTTTGGTCACTTACTTTTTCCTAGCTATTTACATATTTTAAATATATGTATTTTAATAAATATATTGATAAATAATTTATATATTTTAATCTACATATTCAAATTTGTTAACATCAAATTTCAATTTAATGTTAAATTTATTAACATTAAATATTCACTTATCATTTTCAATCTCTGTGGTATGTCATATCCCCTTTCATCCCTAATATTGCTCATTTTTACATTCTATCTTTTTTATCTGTCTCATTATTTGTTTATCTGTGTCTTTAGTCTTCTCAAAGAACAAACTTTCAGCCTTGTTGACACTTTCTATCATTTTTTTAATACTATGTTTGTACTATTCTTCTGTTCCCTGTATCAACTTTTCAATTGGCTGCTCAGCTTGTTAATGTTAAGCCTTTATTCTTTCCTCGTTTCCTTAAACAAGCATTTAAGAGTGTAAATTTCCCTTGAATTATTGCTTTCCTTGTACCTCATACGTTTTGATATGTGGTATTATTGTTATGGTTGAGTTCTATGTATTTTTAAATTTCCATTTTGGTTTCTCTTTTCCCCATGAGTAATTTATAAATTTACTTTAAAATTTCCAATGTGTTTAAAAAATTATCCTTGTTATTGATGCCTAACTTAATTGTGTTGCGATTAGAGAATCTCTTTGACACTCATCCTTTGAAATTTGTTGAGACTTCGACTTCAACATACTGCACGGTAATTTAAAAATAAATGTTTTATATGTGTTTGAGACACAAAATTTCTAATTATTGGAAGCAAGTTTCTAAATATGTACTTAAATCAAGCTTGTCGATGAATTGTTCAGATCTGTGTTTTTTACTTTTTTTATTTCCTTGATCAATGAATCATTGTAATGGTGGATTTGTCAATTTCTCCCTGTAGTTCCAGCAATGTTTGAGCTACATAATTCGGTTATCTTATTAAACGTATACAAGTTTACTGTCATTATATCACATTAGTTAATCAGATTTTGTAGCAGGCTGCCCTTCCTATCATTGTACCTTCACAGTGTATTATAATTGCCTAATTATGTGTCTGTATCCCCCACAGACTGTAAGCCCTGGGAGTTCAAGCAACGAATCTGTCTTGTTCATCTAGCACACACTCAGTTAATAATTGTCAATAATTGTGGATGCGTGAATGAGTCGACCTCATCCTTCTGATATGGCAAGACTTAATACTGAGTTATCTATACCAAGATCTCTTGTTTTATGCTAAGTCCTCAGTATGTGTCAGAGTGTCAGATTTGCAATGCATCGGAAACTAAATCTCGAATATCCCTATCCCGGTTTAGTGGTCCTTCTTGTCTTACAGAGGGCTAATCTGCTGAGGAATCCCGCTGCTTATACGATGTTGATGGTGACTCTGTTTCCACTTGGTTGATAATTATTCTCCCTACCCTTTCTTCTTTTTGAGATTTCATTTTGGAGAAAACACGGAGTCAGCAGGTTCTTTCCTTCCCTTGAGATAATATCAAAGTGCTGATGAAGGAAAAGGGGGAGAGTGACTCTCTCAGGGGTGGCAGGAAAGACCCCTTTCCATTTGTGTCTGGAGAATCTGACATTAGACTGGGAGTTTCTGCAGGCTTTCTATGAAAGAATCCAATGGACTTTATTTAGCTTTAAAAGAATAAAGCTTTAAAGTCATTTTCATTGCCAAGAGGATTGACCAAATGGAAGCTCCTCCCTCAGGTCAAATCATAGATTTAGGGAAGTGGGCAACTACTTGAAATCAATCAAACAAAACACTTTTTTTTTGGTGAGGAAGATTAGCCCCAAGCTAGTATCTGTGCCAATCTTCCTCTATTTTGTATGTGGGTTGCCACCACAGCATGTCTGATAAGTGGTATTGGTCCATGGCTGGGATCTGAACCCGTGAACTTGGGTCACTGAAGTGGAGCACACATCTTAACCACTATGCCACCGGGCTGGCCCCCCAAAACACTTTTATTGAGCACCTACTCTACACCAGGCATTATGCTAAGCATACTGATTGCAAAGAGGCATAAGACTTTTCATGGAACTGCAGAAAACAAAAACAAAAAAAAATTTTTCATGGCATAACTCATTTATAATCATCATCTCTTTTGTTGTTCACAACAGACCTGGGAGTTAACTTTTATTATTCCCATTTTGTAGATTAGCAACCTGAGGCTCTGAGAGGAACGCTTCACACTTAGAGCTTGATTCCAACCTGATCAATACGTAATAAAAATATCTAACATTTACTAAGTCCCTACTAGGTTGCAGGTACTATTCTAATTGTTTTAATGCATTATTGCCTTTAATTCTCAAAAACAACCCTGTGAATGTTGGTACCATTTCATTCCCATTTAGCAAATAATACAGCTGATGCAGAGTGAGAATAAGAAAACTGCGCAAGGCTAACAGGTGCCAAAGGTGGGATTTGAACCCAGAGAGTCAGGCTCTGGAATTTATACCTTAACCCATGAGTGAGCAACATGGTTCAGTACAATAACCTTGGACTTGGAAAGCTAAGGCTCCATTTTGAGTCCTAAATCTGCCTCTGATCTCCTTGCTCCTCAAAGTGTGTTCTGTGGACCAGCAGCATTAGCATCACCTGGGCGCTTTTAGAAATGCAGAATCTGTGCTCCAACCCAGACCTGCCGGATCAGAATTTTCATTTTACCTAAATCTCCAGATGATTCACTTGTGCATCGACTGATATTGAAACACTGTCTTATCAGATTGGCCCCAAAAAGATCCCACAGGATCTCTCTTGGCCTCAGTTTCTCCAACTATAAAATGTGGATGGTATCTGTGCCTGCTCCCTCTCAGGGCTGCTGTGCAGATCAAAAGGCGGGAGGTATGTGAAAAGGCGTTGTAAATTGCACAGTGTTCTACAAAGGTCAAAACCAAACCGTGAACCCCAGCATTAAAGCTTTAGAGACAATTTGACAAACAGATAATGCCTTTTATCCCCACGGCCTGGCTGAGCGGGAACTCACAGTGCTGTGTGTTATGCAGAATAACCAGACAGAAGAAATGCCTTTTACAAGCAGTTCCTGGAAATTTCGAGCTTTATCAAGGAATTTGGTTTCTCCAGTTCACTGCCTAGTGAAAATAGCTGTGCCTTAATAAGGCCCAGATGTTGACACAGTCACTCACCTTCCCCGTTGCATGGATGCGTTTCATACTGAATTTCACCTAAGGAATTTCAGACTTTAAAGATAATAATCAAAAACACTGCTAGCTTCCCTTTGGGGTTCTTGCTGATTTGGGAGATCAAAGATATCCCAACAATACACTGAATGCAGACAGAAAGCTAGATTTCCTTCCCTGCTCACGAAAGGATGAATGCAGCCTAACAATGGCCATTTTAGCGATTTTTGTCCCCGGGTCTGCTCAAAGCTGGTTCTAGCCTCACGTATTTTTATAATTCCCCCCACTGCCCTCCTTTTCTCATGCTATCGGTAAACTTGGTCGGTGTGCTAACAACATTAGCTTCTGTTCCAGCTACAATTAAATGGATGCCCTTGCTGGTTAATTCTTGGCATACCTAAAGAATACTTTCTCCGCATCTAGGAAAAGTATGAGATGTTTAAATTCCAAACAATGAAGGATTCCCAAGGGCATCTCACATGGAGTTCCGTGGGATGGGAATGTGGCCCAAAGGAAGGGCGCCCTCCATGGTGGCCCCCCACTTTTTCCGCAGGCAGCCTGATTTGACTTTCTGTGAGGGGCTGAGAAATAACATAACTCTTGACTTTTGAGAGAGCCCTGTGCTTTGCAGACCCGCATCTAGAGACCAGGCTGTTTTTATTACACACTCACTGGAATGCATGAGAGCTGCTACAGGTCTCTCGGGATTGCACAAACCCCAAAGCAGGAATGGCAGAAATGTGACTTTTAGAGCCCCCATCGCCCCTCTTTAATTTTCTCTGTGCTTTTCTCCCCTTCTTTAAAGAAACTGTTGAGGGAAATTGTCTCAAAAATGTTTTATTTTATTTATTTATTTTTTGAAGAAGATTAGCCCTGAGCTACCATCTGCCACCAATCCTCCTCTTTTTGCTGAGGAAGACTGGCCCTGAGCTAACATCCGTGCCCATCTTCCTCTACTTTATATGTGGGATGCCTACCACAGCATGGCTTGCCAAGCGGTGCCATGTCTGCACCTGGGATCTGAACCGGTGAACCCTGGGCTGCTGAAGTGATGCATGCGAACTTAACTGCTGCACCACTGGGCTGGCCCCCTCAAAAGTGTTTTAAAGGTCCAGACAAGGAGGACATCACCTCACTGAGGCTTGTCCTCCCCAGATAAAGATCTCTTGTGGGCAAGGCCATTTGCCTCAAGACAGAGGCATGAAAATGGGAAGCTAACTGCCTGTTGGGGCCTGGGTTTTTATCGGCTCTGCCTCTTACATGCGCTGAGACTGGGCAGTCACTCAACTCATCGGAGATTCTGTTTTCTTACTGTAAAAATGGGCAGCCACATCTCAGAGGGTT